ACTAACTTGTTTTTTGCATTCATATCATTTTAGAAGTATATTAATTACATTAAAAATATATAAATACTCGACCAAATATGATAAAAAATCTATTTTGCAACTAGATTACATTAAAATAGCATTTTAATACTCTAGTGCTTTATTATAGATTTCTCAAAACGAAAAAACAAAACACTTTTCTGAATATTGAATGATCCCCTTACTTCATGGTTTCTTTTGTTGAAAAGCTCTATACTTTTTGACATTTGGTTGCTAGTTAATATCGTAGTACTATATACAAATTCAGTATATTGTATTTTATCATGTTGAGTTGTATTGTCTCATAAAATGTTAAAAGTGTAAACAACCTATTGTTGCAATATAATAATGTATTTATAATGCTCATGCAAAATATCATCCAACATCAACAAAATGTCGTAAAATTTATAATTTTTTAATGATTACGTTTCTATCAATGGTTATCTTGAAATATAAAAATTTAATTATGTGGCGTGATAAAAATTTAATGTCATTAATTACATTAAATTTTTTGCCAACTATTTAATTTATTACGACCGTTAAATTAATGTATTACAGCTAAAACAATGATATCCATTAATAAGCAAATATTATAATAATTATTAAAACTCCACAAGAAATACTTTGCCTAAGAACGTTATATGGACAAATAAAAAAAAAAATCAAGAACCATGCAAAAAATAAAAATAAAAATCAGTAAGGAGAAAGGGGCATCGATTGCCATCCAAACCTTAATTATAGTCCAACTCGAGTCTTGCCCAACTTTAATCACGGCGCAACCCTGACCATGGTCTACCCCGAACCCTCTTGGTCTGAGATGAATATTGTATTAAATAATACAATACGAGTTGAATTAGTTTACTATTAGTATTAATGTAAAATAATCCAATACAAAACTCTAATAATCTATTGAAAATTCTCTTTTTGTTTTACAATCCTCCATAACCATAAATTGGCAGACGAACTTGCGGGAAAATGGGAGAAGGAAGCAAGTGATTGGTGTTAAAGAGCTAGTGTCAATATTGATTGATGAGGCATGATATTTGTTTAGGAGCATTTTACAGTGCAACATTTGTATTAGTATAGTTGATGTTAAATTTGAAAAGAATACTGAAGAAAATGAAAGAATGTTCTGGTTGAGAAATTTCTGTAATTCTCATGAGTTGTTCCGATGACACAGGGCCATAAAAATACAGCCGTAACGATGTAACCAAAACAATCTGGTGGTCCACTAAGAGACAGCCACGTTTGCAAACAACTTAAGGTCTCGTTCATTTCGCTGATTCGAGTTTAGAATTCGAGTTTTGCTACAATAAAAAGCTCTCATAAACAATCACATCTAACTTTTTTACTACAGTAAAAAGCTCTCACATAAAATCACATCTCAACTCAAATTAAAAACTCGAATCAACGAACTAAACGGGCTCTAACTAATTATCTATTACAAGTGGCTAAACTAATTACAACTAGTAATAACAGATTTAACAAACTATTCAGTATTCTAACCAAATTTAATCAAAGTCACATTAATATAAAAAAAAGTAGTATAAAAATTGACAGCACATAACTTGATATAGATCGGACGATAAAACATAACTTGCTCTACTGTATGTTCTCACTCTTTTTATTATTGAATTACTTATAAAAATTCTCCTTCCTCATAACTTTTTATCATTGATCTTCAAATCATAACATCTGTTCTCCTATCTACGTTCCCATAAAAATTTTGCCACTTCTATTACTTTTAGGGATGGAATTTACATATGTCACTCATTAACCCTTGTTAGTGAGGCAGTGAGTGCACAATTACACTTTTACCCTTCTAATTAGATGAATATTTGCCCCATTTACATTATAACTTCCGTTTGCTTGTCTTTGTGTGGGCAGAATCATGCCCACTCTTTATTGGACTCCCTCCTATATCATTCAGAGTAAGTTAATATTAGATTTACTCAAAATCATATCAAAACAATTATAAAAAGTTATCCTCATAAAAATTTATACGCATCTCACCGCTTAAAACAGAGCTCCATTTTCATACCCTACTGTAGAATTCTCATTTTGCTTATAAGATTTATTCATTTCACAACTTATAACGTATAAAACAAATAATTATAACATATATAACTGTGTCGGTATTGGTATTAATATTCTACTATCACTACTATTATTAGAATAATAAGCAAAAGCTTTAGAAAAATGTTGATAATTTACATAAGCATAATTTTGTATTTATTATCATTATTATTATTATTATTGATTTTGAAGTGGAAAATTAAAACTCTTTACTTTATAATAGAGTAAGGTGTAAATGTTTAAGGTGACGTTTAGTTCATGGATTAGAATCATGAGATTATAATTATTTTTAATTTACGTATATTTTTTATGAGAGAAAATATTATAACGAATTATGAACAATAATTTAAATCATGATATAAATCTCCTTATTAAATGTCCCTTAAATCACTAGTGCCCACTTTCTTTTCCTTTTTGCTTTTAAGAAAAAGGTAAAGAAAAAACTACTAATGTCTAATAAATTACAACTTTCTTTTCTTTTCTTTTTTCTTTTTTTCTGTCTAAGATAAGGTGAAAAAAGTACTAACAAATTACAACTTTCTTTTCTATTCTTTTTTTTTTCCTCCTTTTTAAGAAAAGGTGAAGAAAAAACTACGTACTAATAATTAATGGGAAAAGCTGTGGCAGTCGGTAGGGCACGCATTAAAAGGATTATCCACAATACTTAGAGCCTATTTAATTTATGAATTAAAATTATGAGATTAAAATAATTTTTAATTTATGTGTATTTTTTATGAGAGAAAATATTATAACGAATCATGAATTATGATTTAAATCTCATCTAATCAAACGGGCTCTTATTTATTGACCCCAAAGATGTATTCGCACAATCCACAATAGAGAGGATGCACCTAACACCTGTACACATTATTGTACCATATTGTAACCGATAAATTCTCAAAACAAAAAAAAATAAAAAGAAAAGATTTATCAGAGATAACTTTTACTCCGAAGTGAGGGAAAAGACGGGGAAATGGCTGTTTTGATTCCATAAATTGTAAGAGAAGAAGTATCAAGATTGGAGGGAAAATAAAAAAGAAAGTAAACAATAAATCCAGTATTCCAACATGAGCGAGGATGGTGCAGTTATAAAAAAGGAAAAGTATCGATTTTTGGGTATTGAGGATGGTGCAGTTGATCTTAGGAAAGTATCAAATTTTGGTAAGGGAAGAAATTATTGAGATCTTCCTAGATTCAGCTAATAGAGAACATATGGCCCGTTTAATTAATTAACTTCAACTTATAATTCTAATTCTACTCTCTTACAACGAATTTAAATAAAAAAAATACTATTAATAAATTTTTTCATAAAATTTAAATTTATAATCAAAATCACTGAATTAAACATATGAATTAAACGAGCCTTTCAATCTCAAAAATAATGTGGCCAAACCTCATAATTGCATCCTTTTTCTTTTTTGACGGGAAGCTACTGTACATGTTCAGATTTCAAATAATATTTCTCTCACAAAAATTTAAATTTAAAAAGTTTTATCACAATGCTTATCCCATAAAATTTAAATTACGCGATTTAAACTCATAAACTAAACGAGCCTTAGGGATTCAGAGTCTAAGCTCAATAACCCACCAATTTAAGAACATAGCCCATTTGACCAGATCATAGCAAATAAAAAAATAGTGTCAAAAAAATGGAAAATTTACCCGTAAGAGTATATGAGTTTAGATTTTTACTTTTTACTCTTTATAAATATCATTTTGTTAGTGTAATTATTTAACTAAAAAAATTATAAATTTAAAATAAAGGGTAAAAATTCAGATCCATATACTTTTAAAAGGTAATCTGTATGTGTTATCTCCTAACTTTCAGTTTCCTTTCAGCTCAAGAGCGTTTTGTGTCTGTGGGTTTCTTCTCCTTCTACCCTTCTGGTTTTTCTGGAAATTTTGTTAAGCAAATAACTGGGAAAAAAAAAAAAAAAAGAAAAAACAAAACAAAGCAAACCCCCTTTACATCATAGGAACAGAAGTAACAAATGAATCCAAGTAGAAGTAGAGATTTAAACCACGTCCAAGACAAATGGATCTGATTATGGCATTTGAAAAGGATGGAAATACATACTATAACTTTTATTAACTACAGAAATTTCTTTTTCAAGCTAAAAAAAAAAAACTACAGAAATTTATTTTTAAAAGAGGGCTACGCTTTATTGCACTACGCACACGGATCACGTCAACAGTGCATGTCCTACCACAGCTTTTCCACTAATAAATTACAACTTTTTTTTTTCTTTTTCTCTTCCAAGAAATGAAGAAAAAGTGAGTGGCTGTTTGGTATAAAGATTTTAAATATGAAATTATGATTTTGACTTTAAATTAATGTTTATTTATAAAAAGTAAAAAGTAGTTTTAATTTAATTTATTTAAAATTAATGTTTAGTTTGGATAGTTTTGATTAAAAATTTGAATTATGATGTGATATTTTAAATTATGAATCACTCATAATTCTATAACCACCTATCCATTTGATTTTAGGTGGTTCAAATTTCTGATTTTAGTTCTGGTTTCAGAACCATGATTTGTACTTAAAATCATGAATCATAGTTCTGATTCAGTGTTTGGTTTGTATGGTTCTAATTTAAGATTTTAATTTTAATGTGATGTTTTAAACTATGAATCACCCATGATTCTAAAACCACCCACCCTTTGATTTTGAGTAATTCAAATTTTTTATTCTAATTCTGATTTCAGAACCATGATTTAGACTTAAAATCATAAATTATAGTTCTTATTTTAAAATTAGAATCACTCTGATTTAAACCGTAGTAAAAAATGAACTTAAATTTTTTATTAAAGTAAAAAAAAATAAACTATAGTATTTCTTTACTTCTTTTTCCTTAAAAAAAATGAAAAAAAACTACTAATAAATTAAACGTGAAAAGGTAACGATGCTCATAAAGGGGATCGACCTGGCCTAGTGCTTTGGTATCGTTGGTGATTCCTCTATATATTTCCGCCATCTGCCTCTGCCTCTCCTCAAGCTACCATTTCTCAGAAACCAAAAATTCCTCGCACACAAATTTTTTTTTTAAAAATCCTATTGTTTTATTTGCCACTACCCATCTCTACAATGACAACTAGGTAAACTTGTCTCTTTTTTTTTCATGATTTCTAATTCGTTTTTGCTAGATTCATTGAATATTTGATATGGAAACTAATTTAAAACAAAAAAGGAAAACATGGGCTACCAGTTTTTTTCAATGCAGTTCAAATTTAATCATCGTTACATCAAATAAATTCATACCGTGTTTGTCTATCTGTACTGGTCATTGAAGTTCCAAGTTTTTTTTTTTCAATTTTATTTGTGGTTTGAATACATTTTTGTTGTTCACTTTTTCTTGAGAGAAAAGTTTGAAATTTGAAGTTTTTGTGTTCAGGGTGGAAATAATAATATGCTAATATATATATATATATATATATATGTGTGTGTGTGTGTGTGTGTGTGTGTGTGTGTTTTGTGATATATTAAGCTTCAAGATCCTAATACTGTTATACAATATTAGATATCTATCATATAGGATGTCACTATGATAAATAAACTCATATATATTGTCTCCAATAAAACTTATGGAGTTGAGGTTGGCCAGAATATTTATATTGAGTGTGTTTTCAGCTTTTGACTAACTCCGCTAAAACTCTTCTATCTTTAATTCTCTTTTTTTTTTTTTTTTTTTTTTTTTTTTTTTTTTGTTGTGTTGAAACAGCAAAAGTTCACTCTGTGGACTAGCCCCACTTGAAGCAATACTATTCGACGTTGATGGAACTCTATGTGATTCAGATCCGCTTCACCACCTTGCCTTCAGCGAAATGCTTCAAGAGGTACATTCATAAAGAGAATTTTCTCATTTTTATGTTATGCAAACATGAGATTTATACTTTTGTCTATGAACTTGAACTTGAATCTGTGAGCAAAATTTAAATTTGCCTTAAAATATCAGAATTTCAGATTAGTTTGTGTTGATTTCAAATGTTGTGAAACAGTTTATTAATGGGAATCTGGTATAATTTAACAGATAGGTTTCAACGGAGGAGTTCCCATTGATGAGGAGTTCTACATTAAGACTATTTCTGGAAAACATGAGGCTGATATTGCCAGGGCTCTCTTCCCTGATGACCACGAACGGGGTATAAAGTTCGTAGAGGACCAAGAAGCCGTGTTTCGTCGGTAAATTCCGCGCTCCTCTCTCTTCTTGGAAATATTTGCTTTCAAAAATCCTTACTAAGTAGCATCATCCATGGAATCCGCAGACTCGCTGCAGAACAATTGAAACCTCTGAATGGTCTTTTTAAGGTGAAGAAGTGGGTCGAAGATCGCGGGCTGAAGCGTGCTGCTGTCACAAACGCTCCGAGGATCAATGCTGAACTCATGATCTCGCGTCTCGGGCTCTCCGATTTTTTCGATGCTGTAATTATCGGAAGCGAATGTGCTCGTGCCAAGCCGCATCCGGATCCCTACTTGAAGGCTCTGGATATCCTCAAGGCATCGAAGAATCATACTTTTATATTTGAGGTCTGCCCTCTTTTCTTTCGTATCTCGTTTCGTATATTTAAACTCAAATTATCGACTCTATTATAGTATTTTTATCTTAAAAAAAATTAAAATTTTAAATGTTAGAATTAAAAATCATAATTTAAATATGCATTGGTCCTCAATTATATAAGTTTATGTAAAGTGCAAACTTTGACATGATGTTTGATCTTTATGGATTTTGCTAGGATTCGGTCTCCGGGATAAAAGCTGGAGTCGCAGCTGGAATGCAAGTTGTTGGTATAGCGACCAGAAATCCGGAACATTTGCTGATGCAAGCGAAGCCCGCATTTCTTATAAAAGATTATGCTGATCCAAAATTGTGGGAGGCGCTAGAAGAGCTTGACAGGAAGAAGGGTAAGGCCTCAAATGAAGCTTAAAACTCCATTTATTGGGGTGAAAAAAAAAAAAAAAAAAAAAAAAAAAAAAAAAGGGGCAAAAAACAAACAGAGGTCATAGAATTCTGTGGGAGAACTTCAATTTGAATAATTATTTGAGGAAACTTTTGGTCCTCATTCTGTGGCTATTTAACTTGAGTTATGTAATAATTGTCCTGCAAGTTTTCATGCCTATTCTCTTATTTCAATTCAGCAAGGTCTCAAATAAACGAAGGGGAAAAGGCCTGGTTGTAACGTTTCTTCCTAAAGAAAGAGGAAGAAACGTTTCGTCCTTATAAAGGAGGATACGCGAAATATATTAAGCGAAAAAAAAATAATGAACGTTTCTTCCTAAGCCTCGGACGAAACGCCTGAATGTAACTTTTAAAAATTGTATGAATATAAATTAGATATTAGTATACTAGTTGAACTCCATGTATTATGCACATAAAGAGTATCCAATGTTAAGTTTTAATTACCATGTTATTATTAAAAGCATACAAAATTTGAATATAAAATTCCAAAAGGGAAAAATGGAAAAAAAAAAAAAAAAAAAAGTCAAGTTTTAGGGCAAGAAGCTAAAAAAAAGGAAAAGGAGGATTTAAATGAAAAAATAAATAAGTTTTAAACAAAAATGACAAAAAATTGACAAGAATAAAGTTTCAGAGAAAAAAAATGAGTAAAAAACGACCAAGATGAAGAAAGAAATAAGTTATAGGAAATTAAAAAAAAAACTAAAAAGAAAAAGAAATAAAATTTCAAGACAAAAGTAAATAAAAATGTCAGAAAAGAACTAACACGAAGAATTAAATAAGTTTTAGGACAAAAAAAAACCGAAATGGAAAAATAAAATTTTAGGATGAAAATAAAAAAAGGTTAAAAAAACTGAATGAAGAAATAAATAAGTTTTAAAATAAAAAGAAACCACAAAAAATAAAAAATAAAAAGTTTCAGAATAAATAAAAAGGATAAAAAAAGGACCAAAATAAAAAATAAATAAATTTAAAGATAAAAAGGAACCATAAAAAAATGAAACTTCAGGACACAAAAACATATTAAAACGGAAAATTAAAAAAGTATATTTATAAGGATTAATTTTAGAGAAAAGAAGAAAAATATATAATAAAAAATAAGAATGTAAAAAAGGTAGATAAGAAAAAGAAAGGGAAAAGTAAAAAGGAGAGTTTAAAAATAAAAAGAAAGAAAGAAAGAAAGGATGGAAGGAAGGTTTTTTTTTTTTTTTTTTTAAAAAAAAGAAACGAAAAGAAAAGAAAAAAACACACAAAACGCGGGCAACGAAACTACCCCCTCTAAAAAAACGGATTCTGCCTTACTTAGTAGGTAGATTCATGTAAAAGAATTTAAAAGTATTTGACATAGCGAACCCTTTTTGGACTTTTTGAGGTAAGTCTCTCTAAAAATAGTACTAATTTTTAACTGTATTGTGTCTAATTAAAATAATATCAGATTAAAAAATATATATAATAGATAATTTTTAGTATAGATTTAATGATTAAAAGTAGAGAATTATTGATAGTTTATTTTTTAAATCCTATTAAAAAACTCCTTACTTATTTATGTTGTATTTCTTTTGTATATACTTTTCTTTTCAAAGTATTTTTCGTGTCATTTGTATAATGTATTATGCTTTAATTTTTTACTAAAGTGCAAATTAAATGAATAAAACTAATTTAATAATATTTTAATTATAAATAATATATTAAGCATAATTTATAAATAATATGTTAACAGAATATTTTATTTATTTTTTAATATTGTTTATTATATAATAAAAGTTTATTTAATTAAACTCCCGCTAAAATGAATTTTATAGCTTTTTTTTGTTTTTGCTCTGAATTTTATAGATTCTTTACAAATCCGTCTTAAAAGGCTTTATTGTGCCATTTTTGTGCAATTTGAGCTAGGAATTTGGAACGGGGAACAAGTGGCCAACTTGACTCTCTCTAGTCTATATTCCATGTGATGGGTGGATTATAGTTTTCTAAAATATATATATATATAGAGAGAGAGAGAGAGAGAGAGAGAGAGAGAGATATAGAGAGAGAGAAAACACCCAAAGACACGTGCTTCTTACCAACCACAAAAGGTTGCCACTTGAGACAAAATTCAAGTGGGTTTTTATTTTATTTTATTTTTTTTTTGCTAGAATTGTGTTTTTGACATTCATATTATTTTAGACGCCGGTTCTATAGAAAAAATAAATAGCATTTTCTATATTTAATTTCTATAATTTGGTTCAAAATATTAGGTAGAAATAACAAAAAATATTAAAATAATTAGAAGAAAGAAAAATAAAGGACTAAAAGATTCAAAAAGAATAAATAAATTGCATTATTTATATTTTCTTTGTTTTGTATAATTTGATTTTTACTTAATTTGGTATGTTGTTATTTTATTTTAGTGTATTTTTGTTTAATTTAAATTTTATTCAAATTTTTTTATCTGAATAATATAAGAAATTTTATATAAAACGGTGCTAAAATGAACAAAATCAATTTACAAATTAACTTTAAATAAATATAATAAAAATTAAATCATCCTCGAAAAAATTAAGGGTGCGTTTGGTTCATGGATTAGAACCATGTGATTAGAACCATTTTCGATTTACGTGTATTTTTTGTGAGAGAAAATATTGTAGCGAACCACGAACCATGATTCGAATCGGGGAATGAATCCATCTACCAAACATCACCTTAAATCAGAATTCATTTTAAGTTGTCAAATCAAAAGATCAACAACCAAAAGGCACGCGTGAACAGCATGCCCAGACCAATGAGCGTAGAAATCAGGCAAACCTCCCTCATCCGTCAAGTGAGTCCCACCATGATTCTCTATCAGCTAATCAGAACGCGACACGTGGTATAACTGTCAGCCATATTCCATCAGTGTCTGATCCTCTGTAACGTGATCCACATGAGCCCCTTTTCACAAAAAAGAAACTCACACGTGCCAAACTAAAAGAAAGAACTAATCACATATCGCAACGTAGATTTTACTAAAAAAAACTCACAGGGTGTGTTCACTTCACCGATCCAAGTTTTACAATTTGAGTTAAAGCTATAATTGGAGTTAGAATCTAGATTGGAATTGTAATTGGAATTGGAGTTAGTGTTTAGGAGTCCATTTGAGCTACAAGTTTGACCCACAATTCGAGTTGTGATGTGTTCATTTCACAGATTTCTTATTCCAACTACCATCTCAATTCTCTTCCATTTATATGATAAAATGAAGGAAAAAAAGAACTTCCGTTATTCAAACTGAAGAACATTCCACGTTTCTAATTTTTTTAAAATGTCATATTCATATGTTAAGACATGTAACTAATTAATGAAGGAGAAAATTACCTGTCACAACCAAAAAAAAATTCCGAAAATAGGAAAAAAAATACAAAAAAAGACATTGCCTCAAATGGCTCGATTTACCTGTTACAAAACAAATATTTCATACATGTTAACTGATACGTGTTTATTTAGCGATTGTTATTTCCACCATTGGCCTGCCATATTGTTCTCACTATTTCATCCCTCATAAGACCCATCTCCCTTCGACTCGCGGTGTTTCTTGGTCCTTCCGTACTCCGATCTGGGTTATGATTTTGATTGACATCATCATCCACGTTCAGGGGGTCAATTCACTTACGGGTACCCCATCTTGTAAGTATTGATTTATGAAGCTATCATCATGTTGATACATGTGTATGAAGTTATGTATCACAGCGCACGCAATAGGTATTCTCGCTCATTTTTTCATCGGGTAGTTGTTGATTATCTTTAGAATGCGGAACCTCGCTTTCCATACCCTGAACGTCCGCTCGATACAATTTCTTAGCGATGAATGAGTGTAGTTAAATAACTCCCGCTCAGTTCGAGGTCGACCGCGACGTGCCCTATATTCTTGCAAGTGGTACGTAGAACCGCGATAAGGAGCTAGGAAACAACCTGTGTTTGCGTAACCGGAGTCTACTAAATAAATTTTCCTACGTGGTGGGAAGAGAAACTGTTTTAGCATACTTGTCCGAACTTTTTAAACCCACACAGATTCAAACTCCAACTATTACCCAGTTTAGGATTTGTGTGTACCTGGTGGAGGGACATGGAACTTCTTTTCTGGCGTTTCAAGTGCTGATTCAAGAACTCGAGCGTCGTTCGCGGAACCCTCCCACCCGGCAGACATATACATGAACTTCATGTCAAAAGAACACACTCCCAAAACATTTTATGAGTTGAATCCCTTCCTATTTCTCCAGACCTCTGCATTTTCTGGCGGCGGTACACATGGAACGTGCGTCCCGTCGAGCGCGCCAACACAGTTCTGTGACAATTAGAATAAACGTTATTCTTAATCCCATTATATTCTGTAATCATAATGCTTAATACGAACAAAAAAAAAAGGAGAGGTAAGCCTTACATCGAACCAAGGTCTGTACTTGTTCCCACTTGCCTCAATATGTGGATCGATGCGATTAAAGTCAGGTGGCTTAATAAAATCATGGCGAAGACGAAATATGGCATTCAACACTACCATGAAGTACTTTGAAATTGTAGCCCCCGAGTGTTGCCATTGATGTTGTGTCTCTCTATTACTTTCGCTTTGACAAATAATTGTCAAGAAAATGATCAATTGCTCATCAACGCTCATATTTTGTGTACTCCTCAATAAGTTCTTTTGTTCGAGTAACCAGCTCAATCGCCTAAAGCAATCGCTGCCCATCCTAATCTTATTGTATATTACCATCTCGTGTCCATTTAACAAATCACTTAGACGCATCATACATGTGTGGTGGCTATTATTCCTAGGAGTCGGAAGTGGAGGTTCCAAGTATGCTGTATAGAATACCGCAACAGCGACTGCTCCAAGAATGTAGTCATCATCAGAGTCATCATCCGGTGGACCATTGTTTCTCGCGTTTGATGGTCCGCCACTCCACATCCTATCTGCCAATACAATCCACAAGATACAAAACAATATTTGAAATGATAAGCATGAACAATGTTACATTACTGAATGCCTTCATGAACAACAATGCATAACATA